TTTCATTATTATTTCATTATTATTGTATGTATTATCAGTGTTTGCCTGTTATTGGCTTCTTGCTGTTGGCAAACACGTAAATAAATTGATTGAATTGAATTGAATTGAATTGAATTGAATAATCATCATTTTCTTGTACCTGAGACATTTCGCCAGAGCTGTTGTCTGTTATTTTATTGTAGCAGCTGTGACAGAGGAAAGTGTCACTATCCCCCAAAGTTCGAATGCTTCTTGTGATAATTTGGTATGAACAGTTGCTGCCTCCATCATCATCGCCCTGATGATGGAGGCAGCAAGGGCCTCTGAAACGTTAGTTAACGTCTACCAGACTACACTGGGCAAGAGCCCAGAAGACAGCCATCTTCAGACTCACCGCCCTGATGATGGAGGCAGTATGACCTCTGAAACGTTGGTTAACATCGACCAGACTACACAGCGCAAGAACCCAGAAGACAGAAATCTTCATACTCATCGCCCTGATGATGGAGGCAGTATGACCTCTGAAACGTTGGTTAACATCGACCAGACTACACAGCGCAAGAACCCAGAAGACAGAAATCTTCATACTCATCGCCCTGATGATGGAGGCAGTATGACCTCTGAAACGTTGGTTAACATCGACCAGACTACACAGCGCAAGAACCCAGAAGACAGAAATCTTCATACTCATCGCCCTGATGATGGAGGCAGTATGACCTCTGAAACGTTGGTTAACATCGACCAGACTACACAGCGCAAGAACCCAGAAGACAGAAATCTTCATACTCATCGCCCTGATGATGGAGGCAGTATGACCTCTGAAACGTTGGTTAACATCGACCAGACTACACAGCGCAAGAACCCAGAAGACAGAAATCTTCATACTCATCGCCCTGATGATGGAGGCAGTATGACCTCTGAAACGTTGGTTAACATCGACCAGACTACACAGCGCAAGAACCCAGAAGACAGAAATCTTCATACTCATCGCCCTGATGATGGAGGCAGTATGACCTCTGAAACGTTGGTTAACATCGACCAGACTACACAGCGCAAGAACCCAGAAGACAGAAATCTTCATACTCATCGCCCTGATGATGGAGGCAGTATGACCTCTGAAACGTTGGTTAACATCGACCAGACTACACAGCGCAAGAACCCAGAAGACAGAAATCTTCATACTCATCGCCCTGATGATGGAGGCAGTATGACCTCTGAAACGTTGGTTAACATCGACCAGACTACACAGCGCAAGAACCCAGAAGACAGAAATCTTCATACTCATCGCCCTGATGATGGAGGCAGTATGACCTCTGAAACGTTGGTTAACATCGACCAGACTACACAGCGCAAGAACCCAGAAGACAGAAATCTTCATACTCATCGCCCTGATGATGGAGGCAGCAAGGGCCTCTGAAACGTTAGTTAACGTCTACCAGACTACACTGGGCAAGAGCCCAGAAGACAGCCATCTTCAGACTCACCGCCCCGAAATCCTCAAATCCTACATAAATTATCTTACAAATTTTACTATTTTATAAGAAGTGTGCAGCTGACAAATTCATTACTCCCCGAAATATGCCACGTTAACCCTCGAAAGGTAACTACCCCAGGTTGAGAACTAATGATCTGCATATAAGACACCACATCCAGGAAGGTTGGAGTGAGGGAGATTGTGGTGTATTGGTTGTTGGGTGTAGGTTCCCGCGAGAACTGAAGGTGCCAATGGGAATTTTGGCGAGCTGAGAGAACCGACGGTCGGGCTTCCAAATTCTGAGGCCTGGGAAACCTGCCTTCCCGAGTAGTGTAATTCCCAGAGCTCTACGAGCCCGGGGTACTACATGAAATCTACTTTATGTACTCGGGTGAATAGTAAGGACAACTATACGGACCTAAGCTAACTATAACCAGTGCCGAGAGTCGGTAACGATGACTGATCTGGAGCGGTAGTAACTAGAAAAGTAGGGATCAGGAGATGTATAGTAACAAGAATGAGGTTAGGTGTGGACAGTTCCGTGTTCCGCGTTATCATATATACCGAAGAGCAGATGTGTGTTACAAAAATATACATACGTAGTCAAGGCGATGAACTCTGTAACCTACTTGAACAGGGAATGAACAATCAAATTGACCGTGCAGGAAGAAGTGCTCCCAGTCCACAATCATCTCTTAAGACGGAGAAAATTTCAGTGAGCAAAATAGTAAATGTTTTTATGTGTGTTCAGACCGGGCGTAAGAGTCAGGGAACAAGTTTGGAAAGGATCGCGGTGGCTTAGCAGAGCCAGAGGCAATGGGTTAAGTAAGCCGGAGCCTGATACGCTACTGGACTCTTCACAAGACACGTCAGTGCGTAACAGCGGTCGATGTGGTGGGGTCCACGATGCAGGCCTGTCTGTGGCTAAGAGCAGTGGAATCGAAAAATTTTACTACAAATCACTGCAGAAGCCCGGCTTCAATTTGGTGCGAAATATATCTTGTCACGTCGAAATCACGAAAGTAAGATCGAAGTTTAATAATCCCTTTACAGGGAAATGGTAAATATGCCATTTATTTTAATAGTCAATAACTCGCGATGTTACATACGCAAACGTCTACTATACTTATTATTATTATTTAGTGTTCTGTCTGACGACAGGTCCATATGAACAGGATCCTTCCATCCTTTTCTCGGACTGGGACCTGTTCATATACGTTCTTGGCAGATGATCCAGAAGTGGTTTGCCATTGTCTTCTTCTGTGTGTGAATGGAGTAATTGTTGGGATGCCACGGAGAAACCGGGGAAGCCCCCGGAGGAAAACTCCTTGTTGCCTAGACCACGGCCTTGCCCAACACAAGTTATAAAGTCGGGCACCGCTCTTGCAATTGCTCTCAGAATAAACAACATAACTTTCACTCGACCTATCTAACATACTGTGCTGTAGTTCCTGATTCCTCAGAGGTAGGAGCTGAATTATTATGTAGCCATACTATTTGTACGAGAGTAAAATATTTTACCAAGATCATCCAAAAATTGAGGTAATCAATGAATCCTGCTTTGATAGAATACACAAACTGAATTATTACAGCCTACATCTGTATTAATTACTCATGCAAAATTGTCTATTCATCTGCTTCTTTAAAATATTCTGCGGTTACGTTAAGATTAAGGAGTTAAACTCATATTAATTTAGTAAAAAGAAAATGAAAACAGATGTGTTCTACTTGCGGAATCGTGTGAAAAAAAACAAATATTCCGAGCATAATATAAATAAAAACAAACATTAAAGTATCTTGCCTTAAAATTTTCTTTATATTTGGATGGCAGCGTTACTCAAATAGAATCGCGATTATTTATTCATAGTGATCTTTGTTTTTGCAGTTGAAGTCTACACTATTATCACTGTACATTAACATTTATGTTATCAGTAATAAAACTAGAACGCGTAAATAATATTTTAATAATTACCTTCACATCCCCTGTCCATCCTACATCGTCTGGTCATCGTCCATGTTGGTAACCTTTTTATGTTTTAACTCAGTGGAATGTTCAGCGTTGATTCCGGCCATGTTCAGTTCGCTCCGCTGCTCGTCAAGAACGGCAAAGTCTGACCTACGATCCACCGTCATGCAACTGACACAGGAAGGCAAGACTTTGGCAACTGGATCGACGGCATTTAAAACTCTTACCAGAGTTCCAAACAGTTAAACTGGTCTGCATGGGTGTAATCTCTCCGAACAGGGGTTGAATGAGAGACCGGCACTGTAGTGGACCTTCAATGTATGAAACGACAGATTCAGGTTCTGTATCGTAGCTTTTATAATTGAAGTTGAGCTCAAGACGTTCTTGTGAAGACGGATTCATCTGTCGTTCTCCGTAATTACAAACGATGACCACTTGTAATGAAAGCAAACGGATTGACCTATTTTGCCCTTTTTAAAACAACCAGGAAAAGGAGATCATGCTTTTGTATGCTCAATGAATACAAAGTAGCCGTCGGAATAAGATCCCGTGGTGCGTACATGCAGTGCGTCGTATTAAGATATAATGAATGTCGACTGCCAAAGGGTCACGTATCACAACAGAGCGTAATATTAATTTCTGTAAGTCAAGTACTCAGGCGAAGCGATGTAGATGTCAAATCAGAAAATTCCTTTAAAGTCTCTTGGCATATGTAAGGCGGTGTTTAAATTAATTTAACATGCTTCATAAGTTGATATAATTGCGTCATATTATGAATTAAAATTTAATTATTCGTGTTTTTTCCGTCTAATCACAATTGTATATAGATAAAATTATATATAAAATATTAAAATATCATTTACATATTTGGTACAATTTTTTACTACATGTTTAGGTTACATTGAACCATCTTCAGGTGTAAAGTTAAAAGTTAAAAATTATAATCTTATAAACTAAAACTTAATTACTGTTGTTACACAACTGTGTAACAACAGTAATTAAGTTTTAGTTTATAAGATTATAATTTTTAACTTTTAACTTTACACCTGAAGATGGTTCAATGTAACCTAAACATGTAGTAAAAAATTGTACCAAATATGTAAATGATATTTTAATATCTTATATATAATTTTATCTATATACAATTGTGATTAGACGGAAAAAACACGAATAATTAAATTTTAATTCAATATATATACATGGCTGTTTTACTCTGTTGTTAATCATTCAATAAGCTGTGGTCCACTATGCTGCAGAATATTGAACTCTTATTATGATAATAGATCACGTCACACAAACAACTATTCAGCACATGAATTCTATAGATTGGTCACTAGTCACTAATCAACACTTTTGGTTGCTTTTGGATGGTTAGACGCAAACAATGCCTGACTCTTACTCAACCTTACACTGTGGTACTCTGTATTACACATAACGTAACCAAAGTCTGATATATATATATACCTATGAGCTGTGTCGTTATATGAATAACATTCTGAACAATATATGTCGAATATTTCGTGTTGACAAGGGGAACTGAATTTTAATTGTATCTAATGGACCTTATGAAGGAAACTTCCACTCGGTCTATTTCCTGTCATCCTTCGGGATAAAACAGAAGTTAGAAGAATAGTAAGTTGGAGATTGTTGATTCAAGTGAGTGATTCTACGTGAAGTCAGTTCCACAAAGTTGTAAAGTTAAGCACTTAACACAAGTCGTGCATACGCGATGATGCGAGTACGAGGTCAAGTCAATTGAATTCGGTGTTATAACGTCGAATAGAGTAACTTCGTCCGAAATTGAGCAAATAATGAATTGATGAACGTGGATAATGCAGAGATACATATTTATTTGTTTTGAATAATAAAACACTAACAAAAACCTAGGCTGTAATCGGAGTCTTATCCTGCTAACTACATAGGCTAATTGGAATCGTTCTGTGACTGCGATGTTACTGGAATCGCGACTAACTTGTTTATCTGCCAGTCTTGGTTATCATAACTGGATCGTCATTTCCTGCTGCATCTGTGACAAGTATTTGAGTGTAATTAATAAACCTGAGAGTTTGCAAATTATCTACAAGTAATAGAAAGTAATCAACCAGACACATTGTATCTGAAATTTTTTGACATATGAAAATTTATAAAATCCCGTGGAGATTACAAACACATATTTATTTGTGTGTGTGACTTGACGTTTGAGTCTGTCATTTGTTTTTAGATTCATGCGCAGTTGATGACTTAATACAAAAAACATTCCTGGCAACTGCTCGGAACGCAAAAAATGCCACGATCAGTAATAAAGAAAGGGCTAATGTCAACGCAACGATGATATCCAGTAGGAAGTACTGGTACCAGGCGAGGTCGAGTGCAGCTGAACGCATGTGAGGCGCTCCCTTGTGCCTGATCACGTACTCCGTCCAGAACACGGCCTGATCCAGTGGAGTGAGTGGCTGGTCCCGGTAGATTCTGGACAGACGCTGGGCGTTCTCGCGGTACCTGCGACATAAAACATACTGTTGTGAAAGTCCGGAGAAACCACGTAATAAATTACACGCAATTGTTTTGAGTGTGAAAAAACCCGCGGATGCAGTACCACCGCGCATTTTAAGTGCGTATATTTTCTGTAGGAACTGTGGTGTTTTATATCATTTTATGGAAATGATCACATTTTGGTGAAAGGCATCACTTTGCATTAGAGTGACTCCGTGTTTACACGTGCATCAATATAGGAACACGCTATATGCTCCAATTGGCGTGTTAGAACGCAATAATATAAATGTGTTTTCGCCGCACTGAACATAAGAGTGCGACGTATATTGACAAAGTGATAAGTGATAAAATGAAGAAAACTGAAATTACGTATTTCCAAAATTCGACCTAAAGTGATGAGGACATTTCATGAAATGTACCCAAGAACGCAGAGTAAAACTTTGGAAAAGGAATGTTATTTGTGCCCTCATTCGGAAGGTACAAGAGTAAAAACACATTGCTTTAAATGTCGAAAAAAAACTTGTCCGGAGCACAAGAAGAATTTCTCTTCATTTTAAAGGCTGAGATAGACCCTTTTTCCTGGCAAAGTCATAATGAGTTTTATATATTTAATGGTTAAAGGGTAGCCATTTTAAATATCACTTTATTTGTTTTCATTTTTCGGCAGCCATTTTTGTACTAGGGTCTATATGTTCAAGGAGTGTATGTATTCGGGGCTTATGTGAAATTAATTTACCTTGGATTCTCAAGTCCTTCCCTCAGTGCCCATGAAACTGATTCGGCGCTGATGTTAAAGAAGTCTAACTTGATTCCAAATCCAAGTAATACGGCTCTGACGACGTTGTGTCTTTGTTCGCTAATTATCGGAATGCCAACAATAGGAACTCCTCGGTTTATCGCCTCTTGAGAGCTCAGAAGGCCGCCATGTGTGACGAACAGTCTCACATTGGGATGGGCTGTGGACGGAAACGACAGATGTGAGCATCTTTTCCTTAAATCAAGTGTCTTTCATGAAGATAAAACTATAAATTATGGCGACGATGTTACCGCTCTTAGTGTTCCTCTTTTGGCGTCACATAATTAGGAAAGTAATATATTGTCTTTTAAATTGTTATGGAGTGAAGTAATTTTGGTAGGTTGTGTACATGAATATTTCGGATAATAGTGTTAGGATTTGATTTAACTTGTAACAAGTGTTGTCTTTGACACACCAAACCATTGGTCCTTTCAAATTTCAAGTAAATGATCTAAATCAAGCCTGAAAACTGAAACATTAACTGTGGATAAAAGCTGAATGAAATCAACTAGCTAATTATCTTCTAATTCTTTTGTTGTTTATATTAATGACAACGCGTCACAAAATTATTAAAATATGTCCCACTTTGTTACAGAAATTCTTTCAGATTTAATTATGATAAAAATAATTATAATAGTAGGAACTTTACATGATCCTGTTTGGTACATAATAAGGCTGCTCCTTTTGACTGGAGGAACCCATAAGCCTCACTTACTTGCTCAGAATTGCCAAATGCACTTTTTTTGAGTGGTTGTGGTTGAACAAAGTTTGGTCTAAGTGGAATATAAGATGTGATTATAAGTTTCTGAAATGTCCTATAGAATTTAGATCCAGGAGCCACAATGACTACTATTTACGTAAAAACATTTACGTCTATCGATGGTTGTCCTGTATTTGAACCAAATTCCTTTTCAAAATTTTGTCTGAACGTCTATAAATTATTTCGTCTCGCAATTCAGGGGCGTGATTCCTTGCAGTCGAAAATTATCCACTGTCATAAAATCCGAAATTATATCTACTTAAAACATCTTTATTAAACTCGCCCTACTTCGTAACACAATTATTCAAATTGTTTCTCTAACGTAACAAAAATTTCGGCAAATCTTTCTTTTCATTTTCTAGAACCGACATCTTAGCCTTGCTACAAATTCGCGATGAAGTATGCTCACTGCCTAAATCAGTGTTTCTTGCTCTTTTCCTGGCGCCACCATTGAAACACAAAAAAACTTCCCTTATCGTACACTATTTCAAATTAACCAATATAGGCGGAGATACACGTAACATTGCTTCTGACATGATTATTAGTGAAAATGTGCGTATTTCACATTTATTTCCATTAAGTATGATCCTCGATTTTCACCATGGCCTCCCAAGAAAATATTTTCAGTAAAGGGAGTTTTCCGAAATCGAGTGGTTTTAAAAAACAATTCAATTTGCTTTATATCTAAATTCAAACGCACCCAGAATATCTGACTGAGGCATCCACTTCCCCAGTTTCACATTGCTTGGTTGTCCTGGTAACGAGTCTGTCTCCCATTTCCACAGCACCCGTTGCTTCAGTTTGGAAAAAGCTACGAGAAGTGTTTGCCTCGTCGAATCTGGCAGATCACAGCTTCTCCAAATTGAACCCATGCTAAAATAAACAACACCATGCGGAGCATCGTCCAAGAATACCTGTAGATCCTGGGGGAAAAAATGTAAACAGAGAAGGATGTTCTAAGATTTACAAAGTAAACATTACATAAAATAATTCAGTACGAGTATATGAAGAGGTTAACAACACATGATCACATATAAGATTGTTACATAGTTTGAATGTTATTATCTAAGTAACTAAATTTAATATACTGAGTTAATATTGTAGTTTTCTGCGTCGTCTTGTTTTATAAATGTATTTTGAAGCAACATACGTTCTTCATTAGTAGGACCAAAGATCAGAGTACAATTCCTATCCGAAACGTTAGTATATGCTAAGAAGATTATATGGCAGAACCAATAATATTAAATAAATTCCCTTCTCAGTCAAAACCTCAAATTTTGCATTGAACGCAAAGACTTTAATAATCAGAAAACGCAAAAGGCTTTGCATATCAGATGACAGTAATGAAATGCGAAATTCCGGATAATTATAAACTTATATTAATAACTCATTAGATATATTATTATAATTTACTAACACCATATTTTGGCTTGAGAGAAACAATTTTTAAGCATTTTAACTTAAAAATGCAGTACTAATATCACATGTGTATAAGGCATTTCATTATTACTGTAGAATTCATGTAATCATAAGTTCCTGATAGTACGTAAAAATAGTAGTTATTTACTAATCCTTTAACTTTTGAAAACAAAATAAATCAGTATGAAATTGAAGTTTGAGTTGTTTTATATTGTATTTTTACAAATAAATCTTATAATACCTCAGGTTCATCTAATCATGTTTCTCAACATTTTTCACACAAACAAGCAAAGAAAATTATCTCATGTTCAGAAGTAATACTCGCTTAAATAGGCGAAAAATTCCCCCGTTTTGTATGTTCCAGAAGTTTATTAGCATGAACACAAGAGCCGACTATGGCCTATCTCCGGATCAAAATGAATTCAGATGAAAACCTCATCTTGATAATATTCCTCCGTTAATACTCGTGTTTCTCAAACGTTGTCATTCCTACAGGATTATTCAGGGAAGAACTATTACTGAAATAGAATACAATTGGAATCTAACCGAGAAGAAAAGTATTGCATGAAACAACTTCATACACAAATACCATTGTAATTCCAAAATAGTTAAAATTAATTGAATTTATAATGAGCTCAAAAAGTATTTTATATCTACCTCTAAAATAATTATTACAAATCGATAATTAAAATGCACTCTGCATGCTTATTTTATGTACACTTACGTCAGGCAGTGGTTTAGGTGGTTTTATGTGCAAACCGCCAACCTGAACAATGTTAGGCATCAGAGGCTTCGGAGAGCTGATACTGAAGTGGCTGTTGACTAAAAGAAGGGCTGTAGAAGTGGCATCTAGTTCTGCCAGATGCGGCAAACCTTCGACATCTTTGAAGAATGGCTTCACTATTTTATCCTGTCTTGGTAAAAAATAGAACTGTCGTCCTAGCGTGAAGAAAACTCCACACAGAGAGTTAATTATTCTCTCCCATAAATTCATCCGGTCGCTAAAGCCAAGAAGGCCGTCAGGGACGTAAGAATACGGGTTTGGGTTTCCTACCCAGTAACCCATCCAGTTAGTTCCACCGAATGTACAGAATTTAATTATCGGCGCTTTGAATTTATATCCGAACGGGAGGAAACAATCACTGAAGAAGGCTTCAAGGATTATGACATCGAAATGCAAATCCGTTGAGTCAATCAGCTCTTGTACACGTTTGTCAGACAATATTTCACTGCACATATCACCGGCTATCTGCCAGAAACGAATTTGCATCATAAGAGCATTTTGATGCACGAAATCATAAACTTTGCGGTCATTCATTCCTGAAAAAGCAAACAAAATATTTAAAAAGAGATTTTGAGAAATAGATTGACATATACTTTAATGGTTTGATTCCTTTCCTAACAAGCTGACAATTTCTCTTGTGGTCAACAATTGATTGCTGTGGTCACAAGACCCCCTGTAGCCTTGGCCAGTTAACAGCCGTCCGTCCACACACTCAAATACTACTTTTTAAAAATACTTTTCATATAGCCATTCCATCTGTGCTTAGGTCTCAATAATAACATGGTCTTTTCAGAATTTCGGCTTAACGTTGTTTGTACTACTCACTCCCCATGTAATTTCATGATTCGCCCACTTTTTCCTTATACCGTCAGTATTAATGTCTAATAATATAAAACTATTTTAAATTATTTGCTTAATTTCCAAACTGTAATTATACATGCATATATAAATATATATATTCTTACCAATCTTAACGAACTCCTGTGATAATACCGGGATATCAGTGTAGTTTGGGACTGAAACTTTTTCTGGGAACGAACTGATAACTGTGACGTGGTGCCCCTTCGCCGCAAGTTCTGTCAACAGAGCCGACTTCAAGGCCATGTGACTGGGTGCTGGGACTGAGAAGACTGCCAAGATGTTCGCACAATAAGCCTCATCGAAACTCGTTGATAAGAACAAGAACGCTACCAGTAGCACCTAGTGAGAACACTTTGAAATTGCTTATGCCTCAAACAACATGCACGAAACGTCGCAAAAAAAATGGTATTTGTGCAGATGGGAAAGAAATTATTCTTCGTTAATGAAAGCCTAACACATTCATAAGGACCAACGGTTGTATAACGTCCTGAGTCAGATGAATCCAGTTCATAACTTACAACATGAAGACCCATTTGAATACTATCTCTCGTCTAAGTCAAGATCTCCCTTCATATACCCGAATACATTCTGGTGAGAGATTATCATCTTTCTGTCCGTGGATTTTGTCTGTCTAAACTTCCTCTCCGTAATTTAATCACATTCGGTACAGAGCACAAGTTACGATACTCTTTAAGTTACTTTCGTCCAGATACAGATTATTTGTTCCATTTAAAACGCAACCCTAATTACTACATGTAAACGAAGATACCATTGGCAATGTTAAATTTTTACAGCTGGTGCACTGCTTTAAATCAATATGACCGTAATATCAGCTGTTTTGTCGCTCGAAGGCCACATAACGCTTCTGTGATCTAAAATATTATGTTGTTGTAGTGTTATCTGGTTCATCCTTGACAGGAAACGATGTCAATGCGAAACGATATTCGAGAATCAACACACGTTTTGATTGTTAATGATGTGAGCAGTGACCTAATAACAAGATTAATCCGTACGCGAGTGTGACGGAGGAAGTTTGAAGAGTCTAGTGCATTAGATTCAAGCTGTTTCTGTTTTCCTTTTCGAAGCCGTAGCTTTTGATCGCGTCTTAAATTGTATATTCTGCTCTTTACGAACCTTGCTTGTCATACACCACCGGTCTGCATTCTTCCTTGAAGAATGTAAGACTAAGTTTCAATAGAAAGAAAAATTATAGTTTTGGGTGCATCTTCATATTAAGGATTTTATTAATGATACATGAAATAAATGTTTTGAAGCTATCTCCGTATTTAACCACTTTCAATTTCTAATAAAAATATTTAATATCGTCTATAGTTTTATCCCCTGACTACAGTGTTCAGTGCATCATTCTACATATACTGACCTTCATTGTTCTAGAATCGATAACAAATGTCTCTGCAATGTTCCTTGCCGCTGCTGACTGAAGTAGTCTACATACTAAAATGCTTTTAAAAAACACTTTCTTCTGTACGCTGTCATGATATACAACGTACCAATCACTGTACTGTAGGTTAATAATCCACAGAAAACAAAGCTAGACAAATATATGGAACTGTACAGATAAGAGGACCCTGAACGTTCTGTCCTGCCAGTTACATAACCTCTAACCGGTTAGAGAATAGGATGAACCAGTATGACATCTTTATGACTGACATTCCTAGCTTTGTACACATTTAAACAGCGATTTTTTTATATGCTAATTACTGTGTTACATAACTTGCTATTCTTTATAAGATTTGGAGGCACAATTTAGCTGAGTTAAGATATGCACCTCTTGCTAATTTACATTCCGCCAAACCCTTGACATTCGTAGGATTTGAAGTTTTCACGATTGTGAGTCTCACGATGGCTGTCTTCTGGATTGTTACGCCGTATAGTCTGGAAGAAGTGTACCGACGTTTCAGAGGTCAACACATGTAAACACGGAACTGAACACGCAGAATAGGCCAAACAGAAGTTTACGCAAATGCCCCTCTATTTCATTTTCCACATCGCAAAACGATCGGCAAGTTTAACGAAACTATCAGTTGCTGAAGCGCCCAGATCTGTGTTTAAGAGAGGAAAAAGTAGGTCTAATATTGTACAATTGTGATAACATGAGAGGGCTTTTAAACTTATAATAGTGATTGCATAATAAATATTGCGCAATTTCGTAGCCATTACACGAATTAATAATATATATTATTTTAGCGTTAAAGTTTGGTGTTAAGAAGAAGAAAAACGGCTGTGGATGCAAGAGTGGTTGAAGAAGCAGCAAATAAGGCTGTTTAGCTAAGAGATAGTACGTTTTTTTCAAATTGTCACAGCAGACAAAAATTTCATATTCAGCACACAAAGCGAAAAGACAATAGCTCCTGCATCTCCACAAGGTAAATCCATATTATCGATTTTTAAAACATTTCCTTGAATTTGGTGGAGAAGATACATTTTCCAGACAGCAGCATGAGATCGCTGTGTATGGCGTGCGATAACATGAAATAGTGCCACTTTCTTTGAAGATAATGACAACTCTGAACTTTGTCGTGAAGTTATTCTGGGCCACTCCTTCACCATTTGAATGAAGAAGACGTTGCTTCCGACTGCTTCCAGGTCGATGGTGTTGCAGGGCACACGCCTCACTTCTCCAGGACACTTCTCCTGTTGAAGTTTTCCAGAATTTCATCGTCCCCCTGGTCGGTATGTATCGGGGATGAATAATCAACAACCAGCTCATTTCAACAGATCCCACACTCTTGTCTTCTCCAGCAATATGACAGGAGTAGATTCTTGTTGAACCCATTTCGAACACTTGTTATAACTGTAAGTTCGCCATGGGGATTACAATTGTATTCTTATAGGTTCACGCGTACTTTTTGAAACATTATGTATTGTAGATTACCATAACATACTGTAACGTAGAGGTAATGTCTTCGCTGAATGAGAACCGAAACATTTGTTCGTTCACACGATGACAGTAAGTTATTCAGTGTTTGAGCAGTGAAAACGTATCACAAGCCACGCGGGCGTTGCAGTTAAACTTATAATGTATGCGTTTCCGTAAACACGACCACTTCATCCAGTACTCAGGCAAGAAAGAGAGAAGAAAAAGTTCTTTAAATACATTGTGAAATATATAACTCCAACTCATTACCTCCATTTGGTAGCCAGGAAAGTCTTGGCTTTCGGAATCAGTCTTAATTAAGATTCTGCCTAAGTCTTAATTAGCAGGAATCGAACGGAAAATTTGAAACAAAAATAACGCCAAGGAAATTAACCAAACGTTAACTCATGATAATGCTAGGTTTTTGGATGGATGTAAAAATTCTTAAACATAGAATTAGAAGATATTTCATACTTCGAAATCTTAATCCAAACACGCAAAGGTCAACAAACAAAAACGCACGAATGTACATGTTGTACTGTGTGAGTGTAAAGCTTAGTCTTATGTGCTAAGAAATAATACGAATGTTGGGATATCAAAGTGGTAATTGGTGTACAAGTAGTAATAAGATATTAAATAAAAGGAGCCTGGAGGAAATTGCATACTCACAGCGTCAATAATTGTCTTCGTCAATTTTTAACCTGATGTTGGATTTGTAGACTCAAAGAGTTGAAGAATCATTTCTATGACTAAGTGGTCTTTGTGACATACGTATCTGACAGTAGACTATAACAATTAACTTTTCAAATCCACGAACACTTACAGAGTGACGGAATATGGTTTTCATTACAATTTAATGTTAATAGCACGTGTACTTTTAATATTCTAATAACTTCATATTTAAATCCGTTCTTGTGCTGTTAATATCTTCCGTATCATCCAATATTTTGTAGTCTGTATTACATTTAATAGACGCGTTCAAAACTTACTCTCTGTCGTTCGTGTCGATCAGTGTAACAGTAATAATAACCGTTTTATTTAATCACGTTTTTTCTGGAACACATCAACTTTTTTCATACTCTTTTTTCTACCAAACAGCTTTCTTAGCACCATTCTGAATACCAGAAATATTACGAAAGCAAAAATTCCTACAACTAATGCTAAAACAGCGATGACATCTAGCAGGAAGTACTGGTACCAGGTGAGGTCGAGTGCAGCTGAACGCATGTGAGGCGCTCCCTTGTGCCTGATCACGTACTCCGTCCAGAACACGGCCTGATCCAGTGGAGTGAGTGGCTGGTCCCGGTAGATTCTGGACAGACGCTGGGCGTTCTCGCGGTACCTGCGACATAAAACATACTGTTGTGAAAGTCCGGAGAAACCACGTAATAAATTACACGCAATTGTTTTGAGTGTGAAAAAACCCGCGGATGCAGTACCACCGCGCATTTTAAGTGCGTATATTTTCTGTAGGAACTGTGGTGTTTTATATCATTTTATGGAAATGATCACATTTTGGTGAAAGGCATCACTTTGCATTAGAGTGACTCCGTGTTTACACGTGCATCAATATAGGAACACGCTATATGGTCCAATTGGCGTGTTAGAACGCAATACAGTAAATGTATTTTGCCATACTTAACATAAAAGTATTCTGGTGAGAAATGAATAAAATTAAAATTATATATTTCCAAAATTGGACGTAAGGTGATGTGGACTATTTTGATAAAATATACCCATGTAGGCACAGTAAAACGTTTGAGAGACGGAAGGGTTTATTTTTGTCCTCATTCGAAAGGTACAAGAGTAAAAACACATTGCTTTAAATGTCAGATTTTAGCTTGTCTGTAGCAGAAGAAAGACTTGTCTTCATCTTATTGTCTGAGAGAGACCATTTTCACTGGCAAAGTCAACTACTTGATGAAAATTACGTTATTTTACGCTTTCAATGATAATAATGATTTTTATATTATGTAATAAAACGTGTTATATATTTAATGGGTAAGTGGTAGCCATTTTAATTATCCCTTTAATTGCTTTCATTTTTGGTAAGCCATTTCTGTACCGGGGTCTGCAAGTTCAAGGAGCGAATGTATCCCGGGCTAATGTGGAATTAATTACCTTGGATTCTCAAGTCCTTCCCTCAGTGCCCATGAAGCCGATTCGGCGCTGATGTTTAGGAAGTCTAACTTGATTCCAAATCCAAGTAATACGGCTCTGGCGACGTTGTGTCTTTGTTCGCTAAATATCGGTATGCCAACAATAGGAACTCCTCGGTTTATCGCCTCTTGAGAGCTCATAAGGCCGCCATGTGTGACGAACAATCTCACATTCGGGTGCGCTATGGACGGAAACGATAGATGTGAGCAACTATTCCTTATATCAGTTGTCTTTCATGATAATTATTGCAGTGTCATTTTCATGTTACGGGTAAAATCAAAAAATAAAATATGGCGACTATGTTACCGCTCTTAGTGTTCCTCATTTGGCGTCCCATAATTAGGAATTAAATATATTGTCTTTTGAATTCTTATGAAGTGAAGTAATTTTGGTAGGTTGTGTGCATGAATATTTCGGATAATAATGTTAGGACTTGATTTAACTTGTAACACGAGTTGTCTCTGACACACCAAGCCATTGGAACTTTCAAATTTAAAATAAGTATTGTAAACCAAATCAAGTCCGGAAACTCAAACAAAACTATAGCTTAAAATTATATGAAATCTACCAGACCATTTTCTTATAATTCTTTCGTTGTTTATATCAATAACGAGTCAGAGAATTATTAAAATATGTCCCACTTTGTTCTGGAATTTTATTTCAGACTTAACTACGGCAAGATTGATTCTAATTTTAGATAAGTTAGTTTCAAAATATTCCAGCGTTCTTTTTAAAATTAAGTGCTGAATCTCTGACAACATCTGTTCCTGATGTGCGTGCAGAAATGCAGTATCATTAAAGCAACCCAACAGATGAAAAAATTAAAAAATAGTGATGATAATAAGATAATTAATTTATGTTTTCACGTGCTGACTTAACAGTAGGCACTTACAGAGAAAGGACAAGATCACAATATTTGGACAAAGATCAGGAAATGTCAAAAAGTAAGTGACGAGAAAATGAAACTATATACATGTCGTGTTGAGATATCCTCAAAGGAAAAATCTCTTGCCAAAAATTTAAAAAAAGCAAATCTGCATATATCATTTGTAGCAATAAAGCAATGACGAAATGATCTAGTCAAAGGTCTATCTATGTCTTAACGCACTACTCGCAATTAAAGAAAATTCTGTCTTGTAGCACACGAATACCAACAGTGTCCATGATGGAATGACAATCTACTTTCCTGTGTTTGAACCAAAATGCTTTCAAAATTTTGTCAGAACGTCTATAATATATTTTGTCAATTCATGAGCGGGATTCATTGCAGTGGGAAATTCCCCACTGTCATAAAATCCGAAATTAGTTCAGTTTAAAACATTTTTCTTAAAGTCGCCCTACTTCGTAACCTGCTTATTCAAACTGTTTCTCTAGCGTAACACAAATTTCGGCAAATCTTTCTTTTCCTTTCCTTGAACCGACATCTTAGCCTTGCTACAAATTCGCGATAAATTATGCTCACTGCCTAAATCAGTGTTTCTGTAAAGATGGTTTCGTGGACTCGAGTGGTTTTAAAAAAGACCAATTCAATTTACATTATACCTAAAATGAAACGCACCTCAACACACTAGCATCACATGTAAGATTGTTACATAGTTTGAATATTATTATCTAAGAAAATGACTTTAATATATATTACATATATATAATATTGTGATTTTCTGTGTCTTCTTGATTGTAAATGTATTTTAAAGCAACATGATGTCTTCCTTATTAGGACCGAAGATCAGAGTATAATGTCCATTCGAAGTAACAATATATAATAAGAAGATTACGGGCCTGAACTACCGAGGATAATAAATTAATTTACGCCTCGGTCAAAGCCTCAAATTTTGCATAGAACGCAAAGATTTTGCTGATACGATGACAGAAATTCCGGGTAATTATTAAGTTACATACGTACGACAATGTACTTATTCTTAATTATTAATATCGTATCTTGATTTCGAATAAAAATTTTCAGTATTTTAACTTAAAAATGCGGTACTAATATTACATATGTGTAAGGCATTTCATGATTACTGTAGAATTCATACAATAGTAAGTTCCTGATAGTACGTAAAAATAGTACTTATTTACTAATTCTTTAACTTTTGAAAACAAAAGAAATCAGTATGAAATTGAAGTTTGAGTTGTTTTATATTGTATTTTTACAAATAAATCTTAAAAATTCTCAGGTTTCTGTAATCAGATATCTCAACATCTTTCACATAACAAAATCAAAAAAATGATCCCATGTTCAGAAGTAATACTCGCTTAAATAGGCGAAAAATTCCCCCGTTTTGTATGTCCCAGACGTTTATTAGCATAAACACAAGAGCCGACTACTGGCCTATCCCCGGATCAAAATGAATTCAGATGAAATCCTCATCTTGATAATATTCCTCCGTTTATACTCGTGTTTCTCAAACGTTGTCATTCCTACAGGATTATTCAGGGAAGAACTATTACTGAAATAGAATACAATTGGACTCTAACCGAGAAGATTACAAGTCACAGAAGAAAAGTATTGCATGAAACATCTTCATACCCAAAAAATATTGTAATTCCAAAATAGGTAAAATTAATTGAATATATAATGAGCTCAAAAAGTATTTCGATATATTATTATAATTTACTAACACCATATTTTGGCTTGAGAGAAACAATTTTTAAGCATTTTAACTTAAAAATGCAGTACTAATATCACATGTGTATAAGGCATTTCATTATTACTGTAGAATTCATGTAATCATAAGTTCCTGATAGTACGTAAAAATAGTACTTATTTACTAATTCTTTAACTTTTGAAAACAAAAGAAATCAGTATGAAATTGAAGTTTGAGTTGTTTTATATTGTATTTTTACAAATAAATCTTAAAAATTCTCAGGTTTCTGTAATCAGATATCTCAACATCTTTCACATAACAAAATCAAAAAAATGATCCCATGTTCAGAAGTAATACTCGCTTAAATAGGCGAAAAATTCCCCCGTTTTGTATGTCCCAGACGTTTATTAGCATAAACACAAGAGCCGACTACTGGCCTATCCCCGGATCAAAATGAATTCAGATGAAATCCTCATCTTGATAATATTCCTCCGTTTATACTCGTGTTTCTCAAGCGTTGTCATTCCTGCAGGATTATTCAGGGAAGAACTATTACTGAAATAGAATACAATTGGACTCTAACCGAGAAGATTACAAGTCACAGAAGAAAAGTATTGCATGAAACATCTTCATACCCAAAAAATATTGTAATTCCAAAATAGGTAAAATTAATTGAATATATAATGAGCTCAAAAAGTATTTCATATCTACCTCTAAAATAATTATTACAAATCGAGTAATTAAAATTCTGTGCATGCCTATTTTATGTACACTTACGTCAGGCAGTGGTTTAGGTGGTTTTATGTGCAAACCGCCAACCTGAACAATGTTAGGCATCAGAGGCTTCGGAGAGCTGATACTGAAGTGGCTGTTGACTAAAAGAAGGGCTGTAGAAGTGGCATCTAGTTCTGCCAGATGCGGCAAACCTTCGACATCTTTGAAGAATGGCTTCGCTATTTTATCCTGTCTTGGTAAATAATAGAACTGTCGTCCTAGCGTGAAGAAAACTCCACACAGAGAGTTAATTATTCTCTCCCATAAATTCATCCGGTCGCTAAAGCCAAGAAGGCCGTCAGGGACGTAAGAATACGGGTTTGGGTTTCCTACCCAGGAACCCATCCAGTTAGTTCCACCGAATGTACAGAATTTAATTATCGGCGCTTTGAATTTATATCCGAACGGGAGGAAACAATCACTGAAGAAAGCTTCCAGGATTATGACATCGAAATGCAAATCCGTTGAGTGAATCAGATCTTGTACGCGTTTGTCAGACAATATTTCACTGCACGTATCACCGCCTATCTGCCAGAAACGAGTTCCGACCATAAGAGCATTTTGATGCACCCAATTATAAACACTGCGTCCATCTTGTCCTGAAAATGCAAACAAAATATTTAAAAACAGATTCCAAGAAATACATTGACATATACTTTAATGGTTTGATTCCTTTCCTAACAGGCTGACAATTTCTCATGTGGTCAACAATTGATTGCTGTGGTCACTAGACCCCTGTAGCCTTAGCCAGTTAACAGCCGTCCGTCCACACACTCTAATACTACTTTTTAAAAATTATTTTCTTTATAGCCCTTCCATCCGTGCTTAGGTCTCAATAATAACATGGTCTTTTCAGAATTTCGGCTTAATGTTGTTTGTACTACTCACTCCCCATGTACTTTCAAGATTAGCCCACTTTATCAATATACCGTCAGTATTAATGTCTAATACCGGGTCTTCAATTTATGCGGTAACGGCCATGCTTGCATTGTGTGCTCGGCCGGTACACTGTTGCCGTCGGCAGACTGGTGCGTGTTCTTCCCGTGAGTCACCGGCGAATCAGTTTCATTGCCTCTCGTTGCGGATTGACGTTGATAATATGGTGTATAGTATTAAGCAACGTGTGTTCTTAGTCGAAACATATGCCAAATATTCATCCTACTGAAGATGCCACCGTAAATATCGCAGACATTTTCCTGGTGTAAGTGTTTCTAGCAGGCCCATGATAGAGAGATTAGTAAAAAAATTTCGCAGTACGGGATCAGTTTTGGATAAAAAGAAGAACAGGAAACGGGGTGTATTGACGGAAGAGAAATTGGATGAAATTGGGGCTTTTTTTAGAAAAAAAGTCCAAGGAAATCTTTGGCACGTTTAGCTGCACAATCTGGCGTGTCATTGGGATCTGCTCACACAGCAACGATACTTCTGAAATTGCGACCATATAAGACCAATGTTGTTCAGAGACTAACATATCCTGACACTGGTGCTAGGACTCGTTTCTGCAATTGGTTGTTGGGATCCGTGCATGATGGGATTGTTAATCCAGAGGTATTGTTTTTTAGTGATGAAACATGGCTGCATTTAAGTGGATATGTCAACAGTCAAAACAACCGCTATTACAGTTCCAAAAATCCACATCAGTTGCATGAACATCCTCTTCATGACATTAAGGTTGGAGTGTAATTTGCATCATAAGAGCATTTTGATGCACGAAATCATAAACTTTGCGGTCATTCATTCCTGAAAAAGCAAACAAAATATTTAAAAAGAGATTTTGAGAAATAGATTGACATATACTTTAATGGTTTGATTCCTTTCCTAACAAGCTGCCAATTTCTCTTGTGGTCAACAATTGATTGCTGTGGTCGCAAGACCCCCTGTAGCCTTGGCCAGTTAACAGCCGTCCGTCCACACACTCAAATACTACTTTTTAAAAATACTTTTCATATAGCCATTCCATCTGTGCTTAGGTCTCAATAATAACATGGTCTTTTCAGAATTTCGGCTTAACGTTGTTTGTACTACTCACTCCCCATGTAATTTCATGATTCGCCCACTTTTTCCTTATACCGTCAGTATTAATGTCTAATAATATAAAACTATTTTAAATTATTTGCTTAATTTCCAAACTGTAATTATATATGCATATATAAATATATATATTCTTACCAATTTTATCGAAGGCCTGTGATAATACCGGGATATCAGTGTAGTTTGGGACTGAAACTTTTTCTGGGAACGGACTGATAACTGTGACGTGGTGCCCCTTCGCCGCAAGTTCTGTCAACAGAGCCGACTTCAAGGCCATGTGACTGGGTGCTGGGACTGAGAAGACTGCCAAGATGTTCGCACAATAAGCCTCATCGAAACTCGTTGATAAGAACAAGAACGCTACCAGTAGCACCTAGTGAGAACACTTTGAAATTGCTTATGCCTCAAACAACATGCACGAAACGTCGCAAAAAAAATGGTATTTGTGCAGATGGGAAAGAAATTATTCTTCGTTAATGAAAGCCTAACACATTCATAAGGACCAACGGTTGTATAACGTCCTGAGTCAGATGAATCCAGTTCATAACTTACAACATGAAGACCCATTTGAATACTATCTCTCGTCTAAGTCAAGATCTCCCTTCATATACCCGAATACATTCTGGTGAGAGATTATCATCTTTCTGTCCGTGGATTTTGTCTGTCTAAACTTCCTCTCCGTAATTTAATCACATTCGGTACAGAGCACAAGTTACGATACTCTTTAAGTTACTTTCGTCCAGATACAGATTATTTGTTCCATTTAAAACGCAACCCTAATTACTACATGTGAACCGCTGTATACAGAAAACGAAGATACCATTGGCAATGTTAAATTTTTACAGCTGGTGCACTGCTTTAAATCAATATGACCGTAATATCAGCTGTTTTGTCGCTCGAAGGCCACATAACGCTTCTGTGATCTAAAATATTATGTTGTTGTAGTGTTATCTGGTTCATCCTTGACAGGAAACGATGTCAATGCGAAACGATGTTCGAGAATCAACACACGTTTTGATTGTTAATGATGTGAGCAGTGACCTAATAACAAGATTAATCCGTACGCGAGTGTGACGGAGGAAGTTTGAAGAGTCTAGTGCATTAGATTCAAGCTGTTTCTGTTTTCCTTTTCGAAGCCGTAGCTTTTGATCGCGTCTTAAATTGTATATTCTGCTCTTTACGAACCTTGCTTGTCATACACCACCGGTCTGCATTCTTCCTTGAAGAATGTAAGACTAAGTTTCAATAGAAAGAAAAATTATAGTTTTGGGTGCATCTTCATATTAAGGATTTTATTAATGATACATGAAATAAATGTTTTGAAGCATTCTCCGTATTTAACCGCTTTTGATTTCTTCGTTTTAACTAAAAACAAGTAATAAAAATATTTTATTCCCTGACTACAGTGTTCAGTGCATCTTTCTACATATACTGACCTTCATGGATCTAGAATCAATAACGAATGTCTCTGCAATGTTCCTTGGCACTACTGACTTAAAAACACACTTCAACATATTTATATAGCACTTTTTTCTGTTTGCTGCTAAAGAAGTTTATGATATACAACTTGTCAATCTATTTACAGTAGGTTTATAATCCACTGATAATAGATATTTAATACTGTATAGATAAGACGACCCTGAACTGTTTGTCCTGCTAGTTATATAAACTCTAACGGGTACAGAATAGGAAAAACTGTGTGACATCTTTATGACTGACTTTCCTAGCTTCGTACATTTTTAAACAGTGAATTTTTTGTTACATAACTTGCTATTCTTTATAAGATTTAGAGGCACAATTTAGCTGAGGTAAGATATGCACCTCTTGCTAATTTACATTCCGCCAAACCCTTGGCATTCGTAGGATTTGAAGTTTTCACGACTGTGAGTCTCAAGATGGCTGTCTTCTGGATTGTTACGCCGTATAGTCTGGTAGAAGTGTACCGACGTTTCAGAGGTCAACATATGTAAACACGGAACTGAACAAGCAGAAGACGTGAAACAGAAGATTATGCAAATGTCTGACGTATTTCATTTTCCACATCGCAACACTTTGCTGAAAATGATCGACTAGTTCAGGAGTTCAGGGAAACTGTGTCAGATGCTGAAGTACCGAGACATGTGTTTAAGACAGGAAAAAGTTGGTCTAATATTGTACAATTATCATTACATAAAGTTACTTTTAAACGATCAGACAGCCACGTGATACCGGCATTGAATCGGCTTGAGATCAATGGAAATTAGTTATCTTATGGCCTGTAATAATATTAAAATGGTGCCACTTTCTTTGAAGATAATGACAACTCTGAACTTTGTCGTGAAGTTATTCTGGGCCACTCCTTCGCCATTTGAATGAAGAAGACGTTGCTTCCGACTGCTTCCAGGTCGATGGTGTTGCAGGGCACACGCCTCACTTCTCCAGGACACTTCTCCTGTTGAAGTTTTCCAGAATTTCATCGTCCCCCTGGTCGGTATGTATCGGGGATGAATAATCAACAACCAGCTCATTTCAACAGATCCCACACTCTTGTCTTCTCCAGCAATATGACAGGAGTAGATTCTTGTTGAACCCATTTCGAACACTTGTTATAACTGTAAGTTCGCCATGGGGATTACAATTGTATTCTTATAGGTTCACGCGTACTTTTTGAAACATTCTGTATTGTAGATTACCATAACATACTGTAACGTAGAGGTAATGTCTTCGCTGAATGAGAACCGAAAAATTTGTTCCTTCACACGATGGCAGTAAGTTATTCAGTGTTTGAGCAGTGAAATTTTATCACAGGCCACGCGGGCGTTGCAGTTAAACTTATAATGTATGCGTTTCCGTAAACACGACCACTTGATCCAGTACTCAGGCAAGAAAGAGAGAAGAAAAAGTTCTTTAAATATATTGTGGAATATATAACTCCAACTCATTACCTCCATTTGGTAGCCAGGAAAGTCTTGGCTTTCGGAATCAGTCTTAAGTAAGGTTCCGCCTAAGTCTTAATTAGCAGGAATCGAACGGAAAATTTGAAACAAGAATAACGCCAAGGAAATTAACCAAATTTTAACTTATGATAATGCTAGGTTTTTGGATGGATGTAAAAGTTCTTAAACATAGAATTAGAAGATACTTCATTCACGAAGAAAACGCAAAACAGATTACATGCACGGCGTGCTTGTTACTAATATTCAGTTCGAAATCTTAATCTACTATCCAAAAACGCAAATATCAACAAACAAAAACGCAAAATGAACATGTACTGTGTGAGTGTAAAACGTAGTCCTATATGCTAATAAATAATACGAATTTTGGGTACCGGATAACAAAGTTGTAAGTGTCATACTAGTACTAATAAGGAATTAAATAAAAGGAGGCTGGAGAAAATTGCGTATTTACAGCTTCAAAAGTTGTCTTCGTCAATATATAGAATGTTTTTCGGTTTGTGGACTCAAAGAGGGTGACGAATCATTTCTATGACGAAGTGGTCTTTGTGGTATCTTCCCTTGAGACACCAATAACATATCTGACAGTAGATTCTAACAGTGTAATAATTAACTTTATAAATCTAACAACACTAACAGAGTAATGGAATGTGGTTTTCATTACAATTTAAATACAATAGCACCTGTACCTTTAATAGTTTAATAACTTCATAATCTAAACCCGTTCTTGTGCTGCTAATATCATGCGTTATCATCCAATATTTTGAAGCCTGTATTACATTTAATAGACAGACACGTCCAAAACTCACCCGCAGTCATTCGTGTCGATCATAACACTTTTAGTTAAACACGTTTCTTCTGGATCACATCAACTTTTTTCAGACTTCTTTTCCCACCAAACAATTTTCTTAGCACGATCTTAAGCACCAGGAATATTACGAAAGCAAAAATTCCTACAACTAATGCTAAAACAGCGATGACATCTAGCAGGAAGTACTGGTACCAGGCGAGGTCGAGTGCAGCTGAGCGCATGTGAGGCGCTCCCTTGTGCCTGATCACGTACTCCGTCCAGAACACGGCTTGCTCCAGTGGTGTGAGTGGCTGGTCCCGGTAGATTCTGGACAGACGCTGGGCGTTCTCGCGGTACCTGTGATGCAAATTATTCTTTTTGTCTTTGTTTAAAAAACATCCGAAGAGGGCGACTAAAAATAGCTTTGTGTGTGACATGAGTGGTCCTTGCTATTAATTGCATCTGAATTAGAAATACTTTGATACGAATCTGGTGACGTAACATCTTCATGTAAATGTTAAGGATGTGGAGTGGCAAATGGGTACTCCTCCAGCTTGGGAGCCGGCCGGATGGTTAATAAATCGTCACCACAATAACACAACTCTTTACTAAATACAGAAAAAGACAGAACCTGAGATATTAGAACAATCTGGGGTCTAGAGAAATATGTGAAAATTTTTTTGGAAACATATTAAGGAAACGAGTGTGGTGATGATAAATGGGTTGATCTGATTCAGGATAAGATTTATTACCTGGTATTTGTGAGCGACAATCAGCATGTGAAAACGAATCTGGGCCATGTATTTAGATGGTTACATACACGCACTGCTCAAGTGACAGCTACACGTGAAAGTGCTGTGATGTACGACAAAATTTACTTGGTGTAACACTGTAAAATTGTGAATAACGACAAGCCCTTTCTCAAACTGAGAGCGGAGTACAATAAACTAAAACAATTCTTCACAGCATTAAGCAAAAGCCTTTAAATCTCGTACTACACTCACTTCAAGAGCTCCAAATTAGAAAATGTTAGTGTCAATTACTGCCACAGTAACGCACCACAAGCTGGATATCAGTATATGGGGATTAAAGACGAGATGTAAAAACTGTTTATTGTTTTTCTCATCTACTTAGACCAAAGTTGTGATATGGATTAGCGTCTAGTGAGTAATGACTCCACGAAATCTTCTATGTGCACATTTTAACCGCGGCAAAAGTCTCAAATCTCATACGAACGTCCATTTTTAGAAAAAAAGAAAATATTATCATCTTCCTGCATGTGACATAGGCGGTTTGTTTCTCTGAGATCTTTCTATCTGCCTAAAATAATAGACGATGCAGCTACCTAGAAGACTACAGTATAAATCTGACGTCTTCCTGATTACTTTAGTGAGATGTTTTGAGGTTAACACGGTGGTTAAAACGTGGATTATGTATGTCTTTTGAGGTCTGTGAAGCCTTGTCTTGTAAATGGTTATCAGCTTTTCGGAGGAAAGTTTCGCCTTCATATTCAGCTTGGGGCAGGTGGTTGTTTTTTCCCCCTAACGTTGGTAATTACTTACAAGACAGCAAAAACAAAAACAAAAAACCCCAGAATATCACAATTTACACAACTTAAAGAATATTATTCTGGACAGTACCTGGAATTATCTAGAATTTCTTTCAACGCCCATTTCAAGGACTCCTTGGTAATGTTTGCAAAGTCGAACTGAATTCCATAACCTGCTGAAACTGTTCTGGCCATATTAAGATGCTGGTCAGCCATCAAGGGAATCCCCAGAACGGGAACACCACAGTAAATTGTTTCCTGCGTGCTCAGCAACCCGCCGTGAGTGATAAATAATCGAACATTTGGATGTGCTGCATTGTAAACAAGAAATCAATGTTAAAAACTCAATTAAACATACACAAATGAAAGCAACCAAAGCTGTATAAAAAAACTAGTTGTCTACTTAACTCGACTCATATATAAAACTAGAGTAAAAACACTGATATTCAAAACCTATGTTACCGGTACTACAATATAACTCATCACAACCCAGTTATAAGTATACGTACCTCACGTTTTCTCATTCACTGACCTTGTATTTTGCCATTATAATGTATCTGACTATTCAATATGATTCACAGAATAAGCACCGTTTATTTTCCTAACTAGCGTTAACCAATTATGAGGTAGTGATTTTTAAGTATTATTTAGATGAAGTTCGGCTTCAAAGGTAAGATTAATCTATAAACTAAATTCCATTACACAGTGTCCTGTCATTAAAAAAGAAATAAAAGTATTAAAATGCCCCAGTAAATATTGTGTCACTTGAAAATTATTTCGCGCAGATTAAATAACCAATGTATAACGCGAAAGAAATATATTCCTGAATATGGAAGTTGGTAGTTCAAGCTTACCGAGAATGTCTACTTGTGGAAACCATTTTCCAATTTTTACATTCTGCGGTTTCCCTGGCAAAGAGTCTGTCTCCCATTTCCACAGAATTCTCTGCTTCAGTTCGGAAAATGCCTCTGCGAAGGCTTTTATTTTAATCTCTGGCATTTCAGAGCTGTAGAAACTTGAGCCCATACTGAAGTAGATCACTCCTTCAGGTGATTCGTCAATAAATTTTTGTAAATCCTGAAATTAATTATAAATATAACGTAATAAAAGCCAGGTTAGTTCTAATACGTAATACGTGTTATATTATGAACCCTGACAAATGCATTAAAATTATCACGAAGATATCACCTTTGTGTTAGACACTAACCATTACCTACTTGATAAGGTTTTTTATTACGTTTCGGAAGATAGAACTCCCATCTCCAGATGCTCAACTTTCACTATGCGAAAAGATATTTTTACAAATATGGGTACGGGTCCTTTAATTATGCGTAGCACGCTAGCCACTGAAATTAGGAGGATGCCACTTTTAAATATTAGATTACTATGTTGGCTGCTAGAACACTGGGCGGCCTTATACAGACCACTGCTAAAAGCCGATACGAAGTGTTTTAAAACATAGGTAATTTGTTAATTTTTACCTATATGCTCCATAATTAATTATTAGTAATAACAAATAACAAAAGTTTCTGGGTCAAAATTAATAATTCGGAAATATTACGACGCTTCAATCTAGAATAAAATATAAATATCCATTAGAATAGTACACAGAATAAGATAACATTAAAAATTAAACTTTGTGAAATTTTCTGGATCGATTTGTCGACTCGACTAGGCGCAAATTCTATTAAAATTTAGATTACGTTCATCAGTTACTTAGAAATCTGGAACATTTTTTTTACAGAAAACAAAATTCGATTCATGTCCACTTCAACATCACAAATATGAAAATTATAATTCCCTGGACATCTAGTGTCGAGGTTAAGAATTAGTTTGAACTATACCATCTCCCCTCCCAAGCGCTTACATGGTGTATATTGGGGCAACATTATTTTTACTGTACAGAGACTGGAGAAAATTGTAATTATGTGCGTTCGTACACGGCCTACCTAGTTTGGTACGTTCTTCCTTTTGTTTTATTTCTTGATGAATATAGTCGCATATTTAATTTAATGTAATGAAGAGCTGTGTTACGTAATTTGTTATGAAATGCAGTTTCCTTCTCAGACCCAAATGGGTCAAAGTCCTCACAAATCTGTAGGCGTACTGTTATATTCGTACTGAACTAATTCAAATATAAAACAGTATTTTAATACTATTCTGTCACTTGGGCCTGCCCATTGCACTGAACTAACACAGAATATTTTAGAAGTAACAATTATACTCACATCTGGCAATTTCTTCGCTGGCTTCACATGCATTCCTCCAACTTGAACAATGTTAGGCATGAGAGGCCTAGGGTAACTTATACTGAAGTGATGATTTACGAGGATAAGCGATGTGGAAGAATCGAGATCAGATATGGAAGGCAAGGGGGCGTAGTTACTGAAGTACTTCTCCAACACAGCTTGCTGTTTCGGTAAGTAATACAAGAGTCGCGAGACTTTCTGGAATGTGTTACCCAGAGTGTTGAGAATCCGTTCCCAGAAATCCATCTGATCAGAGAAATTCTGGAAAGGATCTGGCACATAAGAATAAGGATTTGGATTTCCGACCCAGTCCCCCATCCATGAAGCGCCACCAAATGAAACTACTTGAACTATAGGAGCTTTGAACTTGTGGGCAAATCCTAAGAAACAGTCGTTGACGAATGCCTCAACAATAATTAGGTCAAACTGTTGATCGTTGGAGTTTATGAGATCCTGAACTTCCTTCTCCTGCAGAACTTTGTCGCAGAGTATTTCGCCCAATCCCCATAGCATCATCACCACTGAAAAGTAGCTCAATTTTGGCAAATCAAATGAGTTTGTAGCGCCTGAAACAAAAATGTTTTCTGTTTGAGTTGTCTTCTTCTTCTTCTTGGTATCGCCGCTGAGCGCGCAGTCCTGGGGTAAACGCGTACAAAACCTTTCAGAGCTCAACCACAAGATCGCTTGGATAAACATCAAGAGACACTGCATTGCAAATATTAAATCTTACAAGTTTACACTTTATTTACAATCGATACTTTCTCTAATCCCAAGACGGCCGTCTTCTGGGTTGTAGCGTCGTGAAGTCTGGTAGAAGTTTACCAACGTCCAACCAACGTCTACTAGAGGTCCTCCTTCATAAGGGTGATCATACTGATGATGAAGGCAGCAAGGACCTCTGAAAAGTTGGTCAACTTCTAATAGACTACAAGACGCTTCAACTCAGATGACAGCTGTCTACAAACGTATCATATTACCAGTTTTCTTTAAGAAAATTTGTGAAAAGTATATGGTACGGTACCTGTTTGTTGAAATAAGTCATCTCGTGTTCTTCCGGTATGAATATCAGTATAGTTAGGAACGGGTGACTTCTGTGGAAACGGGCTGAGCACTGTCACTTGGTGCCCTCTATTGGCCAGCTCCTTAACTAAGCTTTCAGAGAATATGAAGTGACTCCTTCCAGGAAGAGGAAATAGCCCTAAGATCCTTGCTCCGTGAGCGCCATACAAGACGAAAACCACAAGGAAAAGTGCCGAAGACATAACTCGTAACACCTGAGAGAGAATAAATATGCACTGTGAGAATGCCACAAAAGAATACGAATTCTACACAGCATTAGGCCTGGATCAATTTCTATCGGCGTTTCTTACGAACGTAAAACCGCTCGTTTTACGTATTAGTTCACTGGATAAATTAGCAATGAAAAATTATATGAGAAGTGGCTTCAAAATTTGTAGTTGTCAGATACTAACATGTTAGAATGATCACACTGATATTGAGATGAAAGCTAAACGCTTGAAATGATGAGAATCTAGTGCATCAATTTAGTAGGAGAACTTGAAACTAGAAGACAACTTGGGAGTCCTAGGTATTGGAGTAATATAACATGAATCTGAAGGAAACATTGTTAAATAGTGGACTGAATTCATCTGCCTAATACTAGAGTCAAATGGCTGGCTTTTGTGGACTCAATATTGAGCCTTCGGGGTTGAAAAAGTGGTGGAGAATTTCTAGGTTAATTGGTGGAATAAGAGCTTCTGAAGAAGAATTCTGTTTCACGGAGTTACATAGCCAAATTAATCAAGTTACAACATTTTGAATTTTTTTTTGCGTATTTTAGTTATTTTTTATGACTGGATTTGTTAATATTTATAGATTTTAACCAACCTGCCGTCCTAATTTAATGCTAATGCTGACAGTCCTTCTGTACTATAAATGTTTCGAAGCTCATTTCTCCTCAAGAAATTTCAACGCTACATCTCTGAATCATGTACTTTCTGTAGAACAAAGACCGAGCGATGTGCGCTTACATCACTCCTGGTTCGGGGCTTAGAAAATATGAAGCTCTTGGCTTAGTGTGCACATACAATGAACGATGTCAAGCGAAAATTTCTATTCCGGCTTCATGCTGGGAACATTACGATAGGAGGCAGCCTTAGGCTCCCTATTTGAGGTGGTGATACGATCATGCAGAAAAATATCATCGCAATACGTCCTAATCTCCTTTCATTCGTATTCCCACAGATTCAACTAGGTTTATTGGTAATTACACAGAATTACAGTTGACTGAAGAAATAGCAGAGTAATAGCAGCATATATTTGCAAGACACTCTGGCAGCGAATCCTTCTGGAAAACGATCACTGGGCTGACCAAGAAGGAGATGGGAGAATAACACCAAGATGGATCTTAGGGAGATGGGCTGTGAGGATGGCAAATGGATGGAGTTGACTGAGAATCGTGGCCCGTGGCGGGCTTTGGTGTTGGACCTGCGGTTTCTGCTACCAGAGAGTTAGTTAGTTAGCTAGTTAGTTACTCTCAGAAGGAGTTGAAGTGGGGGAGATTATAAGGCGCAACAACCCCGATGACAGCCATATTCAAGTAGAGCAGAATTTGACTATCATCTTAGCTAAGATAATGTAAGATACTTTATCTGTTACTGAAATTATCTCTGCCTAACCGACCTTTGATCTCAACACTCATGAACACAGAACTTATTGCTTGACAATTGTGACTTGACAAAAATTAGTGCAAGTAGACAATCAACAAATTACAGAATATTTACGTCAGATACAGTGCGTGCCAAAAATATGTTACAATTGATATGCAATAACCGCTAATCGTTTTATAGGTGGAATTTGAGCACCATTTACGACTGTAACATTAAATATAAGTACTAACCAAAATGACGCTAAATCGTCATGGCTGAAAAAATAACATAATTGCTATTTCATTATTTTAAAAAATGAAAACAGTTATTTGATATTACACCGGATGAGCGATAAGATTAGAAAGTAGAAAATACACTTCCTCGTAAAAAAATCAGTTAACATAACCTTCCATCTTACCTGGAAAATCTCTAGTATCGAAAATGAAACAATTACGTCACGCAATAAACTTTTATTATAGTCATCCAAGTCAGCGGATCGTTCCTTCAGCCTCTTATGCTAGACTGATAAATGAACTGCCACATTGCCGTTTGTGCCGAGGAAAGATTTCACATCGCTGATAATTCTTTGTAAAGATCGACCTCGATTTCAACGCCTCAGACGGCCCCTCCTGACACTATGCAACGCTGTATACCACTCGGAACGTAGAACTGTCCCCTTCTTACACTGCCTAATAAGAGTATAGGTAACCGATGCACATCGACTTTGTGTATTGTGCATGGTGTACCCTGCGTAAGACCCTTTCAAGACAACATAAAATAATCTAAGCGTAGAGTTTCAGCACACCATCACGACGCTTAACAACACTTGACAATCACCTCAGAACACCAAGAAGTGAAGAATGTCCACACGCGAGCTAGGGCTTCAGCGAACTGACGCGAGCCCTACGACACAACGCCATCTAAGATCCATCACGTAGCCACGCGGATTTCTTCCTGGGTTTTCCGACGCGAACATAGATAACAGATAAAGTACAAGCATTTTCGTGAATTCCTTCTCGCTGAAAAGAATTGCAAGATTGTAACACACGTTTTGTCACGAGGTCTATGTCAGTTTGTCCACTGTTCGTGGAATGTATTTCTATTTCAGTGTAATCGCAGTTTCAGTGTGGAAATGATGACGTTAAACGACGCTGAGTACAAAGACATTCATTTACAGGTACAGCCAAAGGATATATAATTATAGACTTGGTATAATAAGTAGCAGATTAACTCATGGATTTTTAGGTGATGATACAGTTTTTATTCCAGAACTGAAAAGTACTGCCTTCGGGATTAAATAACGTCTGTTCAGAGAATGTTTGTAATGTAATTAATATCATTTATTTTGCACAACACGGTGTATTTATAAAGGAATTTTATGGCAAAAATAACAATGCTAACGGCATCAGTGAAGACGTTCTTTTGCAATTTTGACTCAGGGGTTAAAAACTTATCGAATGTGTAAACAAAACAGAACATCAATAATTAAAAGCATAAAATATTCGCAGAGGAATTTTAAGCAGAAAGATATAACGAGTTAAGTTGTTGAAGAGAATGTTCAATAATTAACATGGGGAATACACGGTATTTACTAGTGTACGATGCTTTGAAAGATTTGAATTCGAGGAGTATTTTTTTATATCAGTGGCTGCGCCGTTGCAATGCGCATTGTACCGTGCATATCCAGTGGCCAGATGAGTTACCAGTATTTTAAAAATGCAGATATGTTGACTTAGTATGAATTGATTCAAGGTTTTCTGAAATGTTAAACAGGTCTAAATTTCAGCGTTTCAGATTACAGCACTCTGACACAATTTAACTAAACTGGTCTCAATGGACATTTTTCGTGTTACATTTTAGAATAAATTCTTGCCGTTGTGTACAAGATAATTCGATTTTGATTACAAATACAAACCGAACATCACATATTCAAATATTATCATCGAGCATACTCGACTTGAAAACGGAAGACCGTTCGATCCTACGTGTGACTGAGTAAAACAGTGACCAGTAGAATACTGCGTGGCTGCGTGTTAACTGTTCATAATGTTTTGCTACAGTAACTCGATCACATTCATATTCCATATTTTATTTAATATTGAACTGGCCTATGATATGATTAAGACGTCAAGTTTATAGGGCAATTTCATCCCTTTTGGAAGAATCATTGCAAAACTTATTATAAGTATGTGGCCCTACACTTTGGTATTTCCATATGGTCACTATTTCCATGACAGGAAAATGCTTTCAGAATAAAATAATAGGCCCTATTAATCTTGCATTTACCTTAGCGTTGTTATTTGTTGAATAACGGGGGGCAATAGTTTTTATAAAAAAATATAGGCCTGCATTAGTGGATGAGTTCAAAATATGACAGAAATATGGATGTGTATCCTTATATTATATATATATATATATGTATGTTTGGGGGGTACAAGCAGAATTATAGACAGTATCCAGTACATATATTATATGCTTTCAGGCTTACTGTTGTAATATTAGTGTATTCAACTTTATTTAAACATACACCAAAGTAAGTAAAAAATTAAAAACCAGTTTAATACTTCTTGACAAAATAATAGCTCAATGTTTGGATGAGTCCTTATTCTGTCTGTAGGTACTCAATATGGCTATCGATGTTTTTGGTCCAACTTTAACAAGTGTTCTGATTCCGGGTGAAACCGTTTACATTCGATATTAAGCCAGGTTTAACAGCTCCACATACAATTCTTAGGTTGTACTTAATATCCTTGCAGATACGGTTTTAACTTCAACATATGTCACAGTCGATGGATGCCTAAAACGTTCATTAATAACGAAACATATCTAACCTTTTCTAATATAAATTTTTTTTAAGTTTCGTAAACGTTCCTTCGAACTGCTCAGTTATCGAAGATGACTTTCTTATGGGGTTTAGCGACGTTTACCTACGTTTCAGAGGTACTTACTACCTAAATATATTTAATAGAAGGACTTGAGTTTAACAGAAGAGAATACGTACATTCCAATCAGTATAGATTTACGCAACAAAATGGAGACACATATGTAAACACAAGGAACACATTAATATATTAAAAGGGAGAAATAGATGCCGATCTAACCCGGAGTAAATTTTCTTACTCTGTGCGCTGGTCTCATGCAACATAACCTAGCTTGTTTATATTTCTATATGTACTCAGAAAATAAAATTGCCCTCTAATCCGCCTAGTTAGATACACCCAAATATTAAGCCCAAAAGGGCTCTCCCCTCCTGAAACCGAAACCACCACCAACACACACACACATACAACGTTACGCACGCAGCAAAAGCCAAGGAAATTTCACGCGATCCTTTCTGAGTCCGCCAAAAACCACCGGACCAAAGAAAGGCGTCGATAAAAAAGTAGAGGTAACAGAAGGTCGCGTGATGCATTACACGAGAAGGAAAATAAAAGGACAACATACGTCGGAAAATAAACAGGAAGTGGCTATAACGACTGAGCCCATGATGTGGGCAGCTGAAGTTCAAATAAAAATCATTAATCGATGAGGTAAGTCAGCTTCTTGAATTACTCACCGTGTTGTTCGGCAACAACGGCCTGTTCTTCCAGCTTCCGGTTGTGTAATATTCCAGTCTGAAATCTCAGAATCGCGAGACCGCTTTGTTCCAGAACACGTGCACTTATTTTAAAACCTTGAATTCGTCTTCATTTCAGTTTTGTACGCCTTACAGAGGATTCAACATCGCTAATTCAAATCCTACAACATAATAATCTTTTGTTTCTTTTTATTACAAAGCGTATCAGACATAAAAATACCTCGCATTTTGATTACGTCAGTCTCAGTCAAAATAACTGTTATCCTAGTGTTACAATGGCTGGCTTCAGTGTATTACTAGATTTCTCATTAAATCAAGCCATATCTACTTTCTTCCATATACATACGAGGTGCGATCAGAAAGTTTCAAGACTGCGCCTATAAATAATATCTCAGGTATTAAATTCATCCATCACCCTCGAAGTAGTTCCCCTGGGAGTGAACACAACGATCCCAGCGCCGCTGCCAAGCCTGGAAGCATCCCTGGAAATCTTTCTTTGTCAGCCTGTCAAGCACCATCTGCGATTCTGCCTGAATCTCTTCTATCGTCTCAAATCTCTCGTATGATACTCAACATTAATTTCAATGTCACCTATTATTGTGCGTTCAAATAAAGTTAGATGTTAAGAACGTCGTTAAAACACAAATACTTTTAGGTGCTTTATTTGGCCATGATGTTCACATCGAACAATACCCGACAGGATGAAGCCACTAGAAAAAGTTACAGAATGTTTACTCTGGGCAACTGTGATGCTAACGGACGGAAATTTTCAATGTAACTTAGGCAGTAATTAGACCAATCGTTTCATTGTAGTTACACCCCGGAACCTTCAAATAAAAAATGTTTAATTTAAAACGCAAAGGTACCTACGGCACATCAGAACATTTATGGACCGAACGAAAAAACAAATGGTAATATATGATTCTTGTAGCTCAATCCCGTTAATGAAATAGATGCTCTGCTTAAAATCGGTGAGCCTATAATTTCAGCTGTCTCGGTGGTCGATGAAAACTTGACGCAGAGTGTGAAAATGTTGCGAGTTGATGCCTAGTTTTCCTGAACAAAAAATGCTCGCAACAATGCACAACTGTTGTCAACCGGCGTGAAAAATGGTTAGTATCTTTTACTACAGAATCGTATAGAAACTTATGTCAGTTTTTACACAAGAGTGGACCATCTTCTGATTTCATGTACATGACGTAGCACGTGATTGCCATTGGGGTGTGTTTAAAGTGGCACAATCCGTACAATTGTAAAATAAATTATAACGATGTAAAAGAAGAAAAAATAATTGCAAAACTAAGAATATTTTAATTCAGAAACGCAAATAGAAATAAAGAACAAAAACAACTTTCATACACGTGAAAGAAAGTAAAATACAGAATACAAATGTGATTCAACATTGTGATTGCAGGAACAACACTATTTATACCGTCGGCTATATTTAAAATCTGTTCTGAATAACGATTTTAATATTTGCGCTATTGTGATTCCTATTATCAGTTTTCCTAGAAAGCATTCAAGAATTCTTTTTGGAGAAATGCATAGATTTTCCTGGGAAAGTGTCAAACACTATTTTAAAGGCAGCACGCAGAATTAGGAATACAATTATCAGAACACTGACGGTTACTAGTGTCAACACAGCGATGACATCTAGCAGGAAGTACTGGTACCAGGCGAGGTCGAGTGCAGCTGAGCGCATGTGAGGCGCTCCCTTGTGCCTGATCACGTACTCCGTCCAGAACACGGCCTGATCCAGTGGAGTGAGTGGCTGATCCTTGAAGGTTCGGGACATACGCTGAACGTTTTCGCGGTACCTTGGACAAACATGTATACTTTTGGCAGCGCTCAGAAATTCCAAACGCCACATCAGGATTTACGCTTCAGCACGGAAAACAAAGTATTAAAACATGCAAAGCTGTTGTCCCAGGCCAATGTCAAAACAATGATCAAGGCTATTACTGAAAAATGTAACTAAAGGTTATCGTAGCAACAATGCCATTCGAGGTTATTGTTGTAACTATGTGATGAAGGGGCGATAGACAGGGATGTATAGATGGGCCAGTATGGTGATTACGCAATTGTTAGAATGTACAGGAAATGGAGAGGATCGAATGTCACCATTGAAGCATTTCAATATAATAAGTAAACCACGAAAGTGGAAGGCAATGATGCTTTTGTTCCGGGTCGTGACACCATGTGGACTCATAGGTAGATATCAGAGCTTCGGAGAAATACACTGCCTCCACCTTAAATTCTTCAGGGTTCAGCACTCAAGGTAAACAAATGTTTATCCGAAACGTTGATATTTGCCTGCGAGTCAACATAACTCCAAAACCCTGAAACACAGTATGGACTTCAGCGCTTAAGAACCTCAAACATTACTATGTTGAGAGTAATTTTGGCCAAGCATTTGAGACCGTTTCTTTCTGTCGTTAAAACTGTTTCCAGAGCCTTTCGGAATTTCAGTTTTGATTTCAGGTTTTACGTTGGCGAGTATGAAGATGATTGTCTACACTGTGGACTCTACAGGAAGTTGTGGCGTGTTCTCTGGTAGACGCATGACTCATAGCCCTGATCCTGGAAGACAATCTCGTTCAAATTCAGTTTAATTTTTATATTTTTGAAATTGCTTTCCTTACCTTGAATTGTTCAACACTTCATTCATTGCCCAAGTCACAGATTCTGTTGTGATATTTGCCAAATCCAATCGCACCCCAATACCCGAAGTCACGATTTTGGCCAAGTTATAACGCTGATCGCCATATATTGGGATCCCAATAATCGGCACACCTCGATGGATTGACTCCTGAGTACTCAGCAATCCGCCTTGAGACATGAACAGCTTTACGTTCGGGTGCGCTAGATAAAGTAACACATTGACATTTTGTATCTTTCCATCAAATGTAGTTAACTATGTATTACGTGTTATTTCAAAAGCAATGGACTCGTCTACTGGTTCTCCTAAAGAGGAATATACATAGAATGGAGTACTGCTACACATCGTCACTAAATTGCGTTCTGTAAGGTCACAGCAGAACTTCTCCGTAATCACATAACCTTGCCGTGGCTTGTTGTGATGTGATATAACACACATGTAACAAACGGACTAGTTTGTTACATCTGTGTAAGATGTGGTTTTTCCTGAGATAAATCGGGGCCCGGTCTTTCGGAAAATCAACCTGAACGGTCCTCAGCTATTACAACACCAGTGAAGCTATGGATAGATTGCTAAAATTGATGTCAGAATAAGAGGACTGTTTACAATGTGTACAATTGTGTAAATATCTACACTAAAAAAAGGTGCAATGATAACGTGGTCCCAGCATAAACAAAGTACAAATATCCACTGCATATTTGTTCGTGATCAAAAAGTTTAGTGGTTTTCGGAAAACATAAGTTAGGATTCGGAAACGTAAATTCGTAGAATGGTGTATTTTTACGTGTGCGGAGAAGAATGTAGAAAAAGATTATTCATTCACTCAAATACTGAAATGCTACAGTAAATGAATAATAACGGCATTGTTATATACATAACGAAATTAGTCATTAAGTTATGAAAATATCCCACTGGTCCTGTTACAAATGAAAATGTTCCAGTAGGAAAAACTGAGACTTTCCGCAATACGATCAATCACCTAAGCCCCGCTGTTCCTGATGAAACACTGTATAACAACTACGTGACCTTGAATATTGTAATTTAATGACGGTTACGGCATATTATACTACCGACTGCTGAAGGTAAATTAATCAGACAACTGCATATAATCCTTCCAAATAAAGAATCTCACCCAGAACATCTGACTGAGGCATCCACTTCCCCAGTTTCACATTACTCGGTTGTCCTGGCAACGAGTCTGTCTCCCATTTCCACAACACTCGTTCCTTTAGTTTAGAGAAAGCTTCCAGAAATGCCGTCAGAGTTTCGCTCTTGAAGTCAGAGCTACGCAAATTAGATCCCATGCTGAAGTAAATCACACCATGCGGTGATTCGTCAATGAATTTTTGAAGGTCCTGTAAAATGGAATGTAAGAATTCTCTTCTAAATCAAAAAATGGAGGAATTTCCTTTAAGGCATATATTTTCAGGAGTAAGTTAATGCAGTTTCCTAATTCAATATTCTATATGAACTGAATCCCACTTATGGAAAAATAAGGGAAACGACGCTAATTAGTCAGATTTCATCAGTCTTTTTGAAACAGAGAGTCAAATGAAATCGATCTCAGGGACTTTTAATAACTTGGGACCCTTTTAATGGGGAAAAGCTACTGGAGAGTGGAGCTCACCAACCTCCATCTCTTGCCTAAGTGAATAAATTTGTAATTATATCTCCATTGTAGCATTCTCCTTCATTGAATGATGCTCAGTAAGTTCCAGGGAGAGCTTTAGCTTTTATTTTTTCGAACTGCCGACTAACGTATGTATAATAATCTAAACCACATAATAATTTTAAGAAGTAGGCATGTAATATCATATTGCTTATATTCGAATCAAACGTGTCTGCAGACAGATTATGCCTAAGGATTTCTTGTTTTTGCACTTTGTATTTTATAGATCCAATAAATTGTCTTCGTTGATACTACGTCTGTATTAATTAGGGAGTTAATTTAATTTATTACATTATAATCACACAAAATTGAAACATAACGCCGTGTTAACAGATTTTCAACATGTATATACGATATCGTATTATGTACGCAATATGAGTATTCACATCTTTCCACAGATATCTGGAATAATCCACTTAGCATTTAATAATTTGTCAATTACAATATGAGAGAAACAGTATATTGAATACTTAGTATTTGTAAATATTTTTTAGCATTCCTACTTACAGAATTTAATTTCCTTGGAGGCCTTATATGTATCCCTCCAATCTCCACAATATTGGGCATGAGAGGTCTAGAATAACCTATGCTGAAATGGTGATTAATCAGAGTCAATACTATTGATTTCTGCATCTCCCAAAGGGATGGTATGTTGCTCGTCTTCAAATATTTTCTCAAGATTGCGTCTTGCTGCGGTATAGCATAAAACATTCTTCCTAGCTTTATGTATATTTCTCCAAGAGTATTGCGGATTCGCTGCCAAATTGTCATTCTTTCCCCCATATCTTGAAAAATATCGGGTACATATGCATAAGGAGTTGGATTTCCAGCCCATTCGTCCATCCATTTAGTTCCCACAAATGGGCAGACTTTAACTACTGATATGTTTAATTTATAACCGATTCCCAGCACGCAGTCATGGATAAAGGCGCCAGTAATGAGTATATCAAACTTTTCATTATTGGCGTACAGAATATTCTGCAGGGCTTTATCTTGGAATAAAATGTCGCAAACCGTGATGCCCAAATTCCAGAAAAAATTAACTTTTTCAAAGTGCCACATATCGTCAATATCGTACATTTTGCGTGAGCCTGAAACAGAGAAAATTAATTAATCGCAACGCTAGTACTTCAAAGACTATGATCCTTCAAATTTCATATTTGTGCGAGCACTGTGGCAGGTTCACTAAACATTCCTTCGCCTAGTAATGAATCAGTCATGAAAGAGTTCTTACCTACCTCGGTATTCATCAATTCAAGCTCCGATCCTTACACAAAGACAGAGACATTCTCGAGTCCTGACTCATAAATCTCGCGATTTGTTCACCTTCATCCTGTCTCCATACAGAATCAAACAAAATAGCTAAAACTACAATACTTGAGTGTTTTAAGATTTAGTCATAGAAGTCTACAATGAATTTATTTTAAATATTGCGTGTATTTGTTAACAATACACTTAACACTTGGCACCTGATACGAAGTGACACAGCTCTTTCCTTACAAAACAATGGAACAACTTTCTATGTACTTAAAACATAACCATTTTGTTACTAAAACGATTATTTCCGAGGTCGCTTTATTGCGTATTGTTTTCGCAGGAATGTGCTTAGAAGCGTCTACACCACACCACACCGTCCACAGAACTGAACTTAACTCCCTATCATTGTGACCAACAGAGAAGAATTAAAACGTTCAATATCACCTCTCCGTCCCAATAAGTGTTAGACACATTACTTTCTTTGGCTACTCTACTAGTAACAACGACAAAACCTGAATTCTCGTCATTCTTGGCCTGTAAAAAACTTTAACAGCACAATTAATTTACTTTCATTCATTTCAAGAGTAATATTACTTCAGAAGTTGTTCAACAGTTACTTACTTCCCGACATACCTTCTTCCGACACATTTTGAAGAAACCAGATATGGAGAATTATTCTTTTCGTTCAAAAGTATGTTTCCTTGAACATAACGCATTTTTAAGTTAACTTCGAATGGGCTTAATTAAACTTTCACTTATTCATAAATACAGTGAGATATATGATATACGTTACTTCTCCTTAGTAATATTATCATGTGTAGTTTCATATAGAAGCTACACAAGTCCTATTCATGTTTTGGAATAAAAACGTTGGTAACCTTCTACAAGACTACATTTTGTCACGGACTAGAAACATCACAATAATTGAATATTAATTATTAATATTTTCACCGTAATGAGAAACTCAAATCTCTCAGCTTCGGTCGAAATTGTTCGAATTTGAAGCAATTCACAAAAAAGTAATTGCCAGGTGCATGTTGCATTCATTTTAACCGATGTGTGGTGTTGAAATACTTACTTGCCGAACCAAACCTAAATGCAAACCTTTAAATCCTTCAAAAATCAGATAAACGTGATTTGGGAGAAGGACTCACACGCCTGAAGACGATAACACAGCTGTAACTGTTCTGGAACTTGTACGAACAACTGTTAATGTCGTATTTAAGACTAGTGGCCCTTAATTTTATGGAGTGTTAAACTTCAGATAAAGAAACGTATTTTACTTACGAGAATATCGCAACAACTCAGGATATGTTAATTTAAACTCGATGTCGGTAAAATTTTCGATTTTGGATTTCTCTGGAAATGGGCTAAAAACTGTGACCTGATGTCCTCTACGAGCCAATTCCTTCATTAAAGCTGAACCTATTGACATGTGGCTCTTAGCAGGCATTGGAAAAACACCCAGGATCCTTGCTCCGTCAGCGACGACGCACAGGCACGATAAAGCGATCGCGAGGATGCCAAGCTTGAAAAATCCAGAAGTCATCTTCGGTAATGGCCGCCCAACTATGGTCTGAATAGGTGTTTACTCCAGGTAGTGGGTATTAATACTTTCGTTCAGAACTTCATTTACATAAAATTTATTTACTGGGCTCAGAAACTTCAGCAATCTATCAGCCACTTCAAAGAAGTTTAAAAAAATGATAAGATATCATTATTTGAAATGTAGAATGATTTGAAGACATGCGGTGAACAACAGCAAAATATACAAATTAAGGAGTTCTCCTTGAAAATTAGAACAAAAGTATTATCATACGCGTTAGTAGGGTACTTATAGAAATAATTTCATTGATAATTTTCTGAAATATGAAGCAGTCCTTTAAACAAGTAATAATTTACGCGTGGCACGGTTGTGAAAGACGGTTCTGATGTTCAGAGTGTGATCAATATACGTTTAGATGCGCAGACTAAGGAACAAATGATCCCACGGCGAAACGGACCTCCAGGAGGACCCATCAGAGGACCGAAATTAACGGGTAGAACATATTTTGAAAATGGATAAAATAGACTTCCACAGATCGCTTGCTTTTGAATTAAAATATGCAAATGCAATATAATATGTTTATTCATAATATAAAATAAAGCACGTGGCGAACTCCGTATTTCTTAATCTGTAAGATGATGATAAGTTGTAGCACCGGATGCAATTTTTTTTTATAATTTACAATGAAAGTTCAAGTAGTAGACCCTGTAAATAACCACCAAGCTTTGAAGGTGCTATAGGGGTGGATGTAAGACACCATGCTTTTATACCGTGGAACTAAGTGATTGTGACTTCAGGCGACACGAGGGAAAAAATACACCTCACAGACACGACACATCACCTCATGTCTGTCTGTTCGCAGGTTTCAACTCTAGAATTGTTGGATGGATTTCAATGAAATTGAATATGTACGGTGGAACCGGCTCTGGTGAATCACGCGGGTAGCGTATCTACTACGGGGATGAAACCCACATGCAGGCGAAATGATTTTGATAACAGTCTCTCTTGATGGGGCGGATGACCCAGCAGACACAGAGGGACGTCTTTGAGAAGGGGTGCATTCTCTTCGTTGCTTAAAAGACAGGTATGTTTTTGTGAACGGAAAATATTGGCCGGGGTGGAAAACTGTGAGAAACGGGTACGCCTCGTGGTTAAGGTCAGATGCGGGAGCTTTAGGTTAGGTAAGTTTGATTTTTTGGGGTGAGGTTATTGAAGGTTTGTCTGTGTTAAGTTTAAGTGGTTAGGTTGGAATTCATGGGTTCAGTTGGGTCAGGTTAGGTGCCTCATTTTGCTGTGACGGAGGAGCTTGAGAGGGGGTGTGTTACGGGTGTCCTCTAGGGGTCAAATGTATGGCGGAACAACCTCAGTGAAGCGAACACCTTACGAGGCAAAACTGGGTATTGAGACAAAGCCTTCGTTTGTGGTGAATACCACGGCTGACACTTTGTCCTCTGTTGTCAGGAAGTCACCAGATAATTGGGGTTCGACTGAAGTAGCAATGGCGACGTTAGATTAGGTTGTTTCCGGAGGGTTTAGCTTATGTTACGTTATCGTATGATAGGTAAGTTTACATTAAGTTACGTTTATGCGGCGCGTTAGTTCAGGTAAGATTAGATTAGGTTTAGAATTACGTAGTAGGATAATTGAGGTAAGATAAAATACTGAAGGTAATTGCCCATGGTTAAAATATACTGATATCGAGACCAGGGGGAGGACAAATTAAATACTTCTTAATGAGCGTTGTAAAGAAGGCATTAGAAAATGTGGCTTCTTCCATTATGGAGTAAAATTTCCTGGTTTGAATTACAAGACTGGATTAGGTTAGGTAGGGTAGCAATAAAATGTTTTTTATCAAGGCATAATTCTATTCTAATTTCGTAGGCCATTCTTGCTCGACAATAGATGCAACATCGCTACCTACGACCACAAAACAACAAATCCGATCTAAAGGGAGACATTGTAGTGAAGTATTTTGCGTTCACTCTGATGCATAAATTGCCCAAGAAGCAAGAATGTAATTGTGTGACATTAACTAACTACCTAACTAGATGGCTTACCGAACCCGAAAGTTCATCGCCGAATTAACCAAAGCCCTCCACCGGACTCTGTCCTGGGCCAACAGAATCCAGTCTTCTTCAACTAATATCTCCCATAGATCCCGCCAGAGATTACCCTCCCATCCACGTCCAGGTCTCCCCAGAGATCTCTTCCCCTCAGGCTTCCCAAATAGTGGACCCAACCTACCAGATGGATTACGGAACCCGAAGGTTCATCACCGAATTAACCAAAGCCCTCCACCGGACCCTGTCCTGGGCCAACAAAATCCAGTCTCCTTCAACTCCTATCTCCCATACATCCCGCCTGAGATAATCCTCCCATCTACGTCTAGGTCTCCCCAGCGGTCTCTTCCCCTCAGGCTTCCCAACCAGTACCCGGTGCACACCTCTTGTCCTATCCATGTGCGCTACATGCCCCGCCCATCTCATTCTTCTCGACTTAATCACCCTGACAATATTGGGGGAGGAGTACAGATTTTTAAGCTCATCATTATGCAGTTTTCTCCACACCCCATCGTCTTCTCTCTTAGGCTCAAATATCCCCCTCAACACCCTGTTCTCAAACACCTGCAATCTGTGTTCCTCCCTCTGAGTGAGAGACCATGTTTCGCACCCATACAAAAGAACAGGCAAGATTTTTGTTTTGTACACTTTAATTTTCAGGTTCTTATAAATCAAATTGTGTGACATTAGTGCAAGAATATGTTATGATGAACAATGAACCCCGATAGCATTAGAGCAAGAACATCATATCTGCTGTTGCATGAAGGACATTGCCGGAATGTCGGTGTATTCCATGCAACACTAATTTGGAATTCTGATTTAGATATTTAGGTAGCCAATGATTTTAATCAAAATAAATATGTCTACATATTCAGTTTGTCAATTTGTCAATTCTTCTGCAGTTTCTTTCCCGTAATGTTCACAGATTACGTCTTTCATTTATAAGACTTTCTCACCATTCATACGCGAATAAAAATCACCAAGCCTAAGATTAGTGTCGGCTTTAGTCAAAAAAAGAAACGGATTTTGATATAATTAGATTTGTACACCGGATTGGGTCACTAAACCAACTTGTAGCTTAGAGTTCTTTGATGTGGTTTATGAAATAGTGATAAAGAAGGAGATGAACTCCATTAGATCTTCCAGGAATTTCTTAATTTTTCCATATCTCGAAGTGTCTGCAAGCGTAAACCTTAGTGAATAAATATTTACTCATGTATGCGAGTATGAAAATTATTTTTGCAATATAAAGGAATACAGTGACTGACTCGCTGGAAAAATGACACATAAAACTGTCACAGCATACGAAGACACTACAATCGCTTGTCATAATAATTTCATGCTAACTGATGGTGTTAAATAAAATATTACCAGATAGTCGTTTGCTGTAATCACTCACGACATCTTACGTCTAAACCGTCCACAATCAGTGACATTTTGCGGACATAATGATAATGACAATCTGGTTGTGATTACGGGTAAGAACAAGCCTAAGACGATTATCGAAGAACTTTCACGTGATTTTGGAGAAACGTGTAGCCAAAATGAACACAGAGACACATAACCTGTTCATTTGCGGTGCCGGTTTAAACGTGTCCAAGTAGAGAAGTTGATCGAAGGAAGGAAAAGTATCCGAGAAGTATGCAGAAGGTAAGGCAATGCATATGCATTATTCCGGTTGAAAGTTACTAAATGTTATCCTCCCGAAGAAAGCAAATCCTTGGAAGTACGCGTTAAGG